TCACTCGCTGACGAGCAGGAGTGAACTGGTGGACACTCGCATCCTGTAGGTCAGCACCACTCACCAGGTTCGTCAAGAACGAGGGGAGGTAGAGACCAGACAGGGTGCCAGAGGGGGCCGCCGGACACGGAAGGACCGTGGAGAAGCGAGACAGGACAGGCCCCCCAGAGGGGTCAGCCAGGGACACCGCAACCGGCCGACTCAGCGGCGTGAGAGTGGTGCGGTCCCGAAAGAAGGAGCGAGACGCTCCAGAGTCAAGGGTGAAGGTGTGAGAGGCCGAAGCCGACACAGTACCTGAGAGGGCAGACTCACCAGTACCTGAGAGCACAGACGCACTGGCACCTAGAGCAGCAGCCTCACTAGCACCTGACGCAGCAGTACCAATGCCCGGGTCGGGCGGGAAACACCGGTAACAGTCATCTTCATCACTACCAGTCACAGCATACATAGCAGAAAGAATAGCATCAAAGTCAAGATCATAAATGGCTACACCAGCCCTAGACAGCTCCCCCCAGCGGGGGATCTCAGCGGCCTCCGGAAACTGCTGACGCCAGGCGTCGGTCAGGCGGCCAAAGCAGCGGCGGGCTGTGTGGGTGCCTCCACACCTCTCCCCCGCACGGTCACCGGTGCGAAGAACGTAGGGGCAGGGACCAAACGCACCACCACGCTGACGCTGCAAGTACCACTCACGGAGCTGCTGAGGGGCGGGGACGGTGCGAGAGCGCTGCTGCTGCTGCTGCTGCTGCTGCTGCTGCTGCTGGCGCTGGCCACCCCCAGAGCTGCTCCGCTGGGACGAGCCACTCCGACCCCCGCCGCCACCGCCACTCCCGCCTCCACCGCCACCCCCGTCTCCACCGCCACCGCCCCCACCGGTACCCTCGCCCCCGCCTCCTCCGCTACCGCCTCCGCCGTCACCTCCGCCTCCACCGCCTCCACCAGTACCTCCACTCCCGCCACCACCTCCACCACCACGCCCACTCCCTCCGCCACCCCCACCTCCTCCGCCACTGCCCCCTCTAGCTCCACCCGCTCCCTTGCCCCCCTTGCCCTTGCCAGAGCGGCGTCTACCGCTGGGGGCAGACGCCGCACCGACCGACTCAAAACCAGTGAGGTCGGCCGCAGCGGCAGAGGCGACAGAGGGCAGCAGGGGGGAAGGAGAGCACCCCTCAAAGATGGGGGTGCGAGGGTCACCCCGAGAGGCCCCTACAGCGACGATGCTCTTCTCAGCCGCTAGCAGGGACTCCTCAAGGAGGTCGACAGTGAGGGTGGTGGGACAGACAGAGAGAAACTGGTCCCGAACGACACGAAGGGACTCAGGGAGACGGGTGACGAGAAAGTAGAGAGTGATGTACATTGGAGGAGGGTTCGCGGCGCGGAACTCAGCAGGAAGGGCAGCGCGGTAGCGAGCGTCACTAGCGCGGAGGTGGGTAACGAGGTCAGCGACAGTGGGAAAGGCAGCGAGGTCAGGGAAGAGAAACGGTAGCATGAGGCGGCTCAGCGTAGCGGAGGAAGGGGAGGAGTAGCGTGCAACTACAGCGTCGTACAAGGCCTGAGCGGTCTTGCACTGACTAAAGTGGGCACGCTCGGAGGAAGGGAGGTGGCGACGCACAGCAAGACGTGCAGCAGCATCGCGTGTGGCCCACTTGGAGCGAACAGCAGGGTCAGCATCAGCAGGAGGGGCAGGGACAGCTCCAGAGACAAAGTCAAAGAGAGAAACCTCATCGATCGCATCGCACAGTAAGTACAGCTGCAGGTCCTCAATCCAGACTGGAAAGTCAATGGCGCGACCCTCAGCATCAAAAGACAGGACACTGGGGGTGGCCATTGCAGCAGCTGATTGTCTCACCGGGCACGAAGAGTCGGGTAGCACAGCGGCTCAGCAACTCGGCAGAACAGCAGCTGCGCACGCCTCGGAGCAGCAGCAGCCCCGCAGGAGCAGGAGCTCGGCTCCTCAGGTTGCCCGGGCGGCTCGGGCGGCTCGGGTTGCAGGGGCGGCTCGGGCGGCTGGGGCGGCGCGGGCGGCTCGGGCGGCTCGGGCGGCTCGTGCTGCACGGGCGGTTGGGGCGGCTCGGCTGTACAGGCGGCTCGTGCGGCGCGGGCGTCGCGACGGGCGGCTCGCTGGCGGCTCGCGGGCGGCTGCACAGGCGGCTCAGGGACGGCGGCGCGGGCGGCTCAGGGACGGCGGCCTGGGCGGTCGTGGGCGGCTCACGCTGGGCGGGTGCACGGGCGGCTCGGCGGGCGGCGTACAGGCAGCTCACGGGCGGCTGCGACGGGCGGCTCGCGGGCGTCGGGCGCTAGGGCGCTGGGGCGACGACGGGCGGCGCTCAGGCGTCAGGGCGGGCAGCCGTCAGAGCGCTAGGGCGGGCGGTGCTCAGGCGTCAGGGCGGGCGGCCGTCAGGGCGCTAGGGCGGGCGGCGCTCAGGCGTCAGGGCGGGCGGCCGTCAGGGCGCAAGGGCGGGCGGCGCTCGGGCGATAGGGCGAGCGGCGCACGGGCGCTAGGGCGGGCAGCCGTCAGGGCGCTAGGGCGGGCTGCGCTCGGGCGCTAGGGCGGGCGGCGCTCGGGTGCTAGGGCGGGCGGCCGACAGGGCGCTAGGACGGGCGGCCGTCAGGGCGCTAGGGCGAGCGGCGCACGGGCGCTAGGGCGGGCGGCCGTCAGGGCGCTAGGGCGGGCGGCGCTCGGGCGCTAGGGCGGGCGGCGCTCGGGCGCTAGGGCGGGCGGCCGTCAGGGCGCTAGGGCGGCGGCGCTCGGGCGCTAGGGCGGGCGGCCGTCAAAGCACTAGGGCAGATCGAAAAAAAAGAAGTACTAGGGCCCGGAGCGCGCTCCGGGCAGAAAAAAAAGTTAAGAGGTAGCGGTGGTGGGCCCTACGAACAGTTCCCACAGGGGAACCTGCTCGATACCATGAGAAAAAGTGAACGAGAATGAAATGACTATGAACGAAGTGAGTACAAATAGGAAACCCTGATTGGGTTGTACCCCTTATGGGATACCCCACTATAGCCTACAGAAACAAGTAAGCTATATGTTCTGACAGTGTGAATGTGTTTGTGTTAGTGCATTCATCTCATCTATCATTGCAATATCAATGCATGTCTGTCAATTTTAAAAAGGGGGTTCATTACTATCATTTCTCATTGGTTCACTGGCGCACTCAGTGACTCGTGTGTTTGCCACTTCGAATTGGATTTGATAGTGTGATGTGAACCCTCTTTTTAGAGTTAACAGATTGTATTTTTTCATGTGCTAGTTGATTATTCAAAGACTTTGCTATCGGCTTCCCCCCCATGCTAGGCAGGGGATGCGGTAGCCTAGTTTTTGGGTCGTTAACTATCACGCATTTGTATGATATATCATATGTTGCATTTCAGCATTTCGTTTCATGCCAAAGCATTTTCATCCATGTATCAGTGTTATGCATCTATATATCTTGTCGCATTACATTCATTTAAGCATGCGTGGTGTGTATTTCATTACTAATATTCCTAACATTCAATACGTGAAGTTATCACTACAACATCAAACAGTAAAAGATATAAAGTAAACAGTATAGCATGTAAGAAAAAAACTACTACAAAGAAATGCACAATGGGAAGGGTGGTACTGTAGCTTACGAATTTTATTTTCATGTAAAAAAAACATGAAAAGAAAATTTGTCAAAATCGATCGTAAAGGGTTGCTTCGCAACCCAAAAAAAAAAAAAAAGGTCCAATGGGCGGAATAGACTCAGATTGATGTGCCCAAGGCTAGTGCAAAGTGCAGAGATTACCCATTGCCTGATATTGATGTTGTGATCTCCCTCCTGGACAATTGCTCTCTGGGATGTCAAGAGTTCCAACATGACTATGCCATAGCTGCTCATGCCATGTGCACACCCCATTTCCACCAATGCCACACACAGCATGCATACATTTCAACATGCCAGTGGATGCACCACATTGGCCCATGTCATAAGACACAGTGCCACAAAGAGAGTGAAGACGCAACATGGGTTGCATAGACTGGTGAGGTGTATGTATCAGCCTTGAAAATGGAAACATCCGAGTGGAATGAACACATCATTAAGCATAACATTGTAGTCGACGCGGCAGAAAGAAAAGCAGAAAACCAACAACACAAAAAAAACAAGAAGAAAATACAAAACTGCCAGGAGTGGACAGCGGTGCAGCATGGATTAACATCCATCCACCAGAATGACCCACAGTGCTTGCCAGCTAGCACCACCTACGCACCACTTTGTTGGAACTTGAATCAGGGTGTCTACGAGATTCGCACTCACTGGTACCAGCACAGCACACACCACCAGACCATTCTACCAAGCACACCGCACTGTACCACCGGCCATCGGCATTCCACCAGTCACTGTAGCAGCAGGCGCGGCCCACCTGTACACGTCGTTGGTGGGGGCAGCTTTGCGCGACTTGGAGTATGCGGGGTCCACATAGCCCGGTGTGCCGAGAATGCGTGTCGTGTCGCCCGTGCTCTCATCGCCCATCCTCACCAGCCCAAAGTCTGCCACCTTGGCCTGTCATGTTGTAGAGGCGTGGCGGGAGGATGCAGTGTGGAGAGGAGAAGGGAGGGGAGGCAGATCACAACCGGAATAACACACATTGCGTACGAGAGGAGAGGTAATTTGGAATTGTGTGTGCTTGAGCATACTTGCATGGCATGTGTGCGTGCATGCGTGCGTGCGTGCGTGCGTGCATGTCTGCGTGCATATGTGTGTGCTGACCGTCATGTGGGCGTCGAGCAGGATGTTAGCGGGTTTGATGTCGCGGTGCACGATGCCAAAGCTGTGCAGGTACTGCAGCCCACGGGCCACTCCCAGCAGCACCTGCAGACGCTGCTGCAACGACAGAGGCGCCCGTGTGGCGCCTGGGAGTGTGTGTGCGATGGGAGGTGGGGAAGGGAGAGGCATGATGGGATTTGCTATGGGGATAGTGAGATGGCTTGTTCACACTTGCACCTGCAATTGCACGGTGTACCAATGCTTTCACGGTCACCTTCAACTCCTCTTCTCATCCTTTCCACACTCCCCACCCTTCCCACACTCCCCACCCTTCCCACACTCCCCACCCTTCCCACACTTCCCACCCTTTCCACACTCCCCACCCTTCCCACCCTTGCCACACTCCCCACCCTTCCCACACTCCCCACCCTTCCACCCTTCCCACCCTTCCCACACTCCCCACCCTTCCCACACTCCCCACCCTTCCCACACTCCCCACCCTCCCCGCACACCCCACCTTTGTGAGATCGCTTTCCTGCGAACTTGGGACAGGACAGCCCCCAAAAGTGCACCGCAGTGGTTCCAGCGTGGCAGCGCAAAAGATGCTCTCACGACCTCACCAACTCCTGTGTGTTGTGTGAGACTCAACATTCTATCGGCCAATCAACAGAGACTGCACGAATCCATCCCCTTCTGCAACCGCATAGCCATCGCACGTTGGGGCGCTCATCCCAACCTGCGACGTCCACATTCGTCCCCCCGCCACCTCATCACAAACCCCAATGCCTTGCACGTGCGGAATGCACTTTTCGCTGTCCCCACTTCAATGTCCGGACACCCTAGGAAGGCGATCTGAGCCGCATCAGCGAGGTGGGCGGGCATGCAGGCTTGCAGGTCTCCTCCCCCCATGAACTCGTAGACGACGATCTGCTCGTGCTGCTCCGTGCATGCATCCATGTGCACACAGTACCCCAGCAGCCGCACCAGGTGCGGGTGGTGCTTCGATGCCATCTGCTCCACCTGCCATGCCACGTCATGCACCATGCCACGTCATGCACCATGTCACGTCATGCACCATGCCACGTCATGCACCATGCCATGTGATGGTAGTTGTCAATGCATTGAACATGCGTGCTGTGTTGTGCACTTACCAAGTTATGAATAGACTGACGGAAACAGATTATGCCAACCTTTGTACCCACGTGTGTGCTGTCTGGAGTGTGGTATTCTCAGGGCAAAAAAGAAAAAGGTGGGAGAGATATTACTTGAATGGAGTCACCAGGAAGTGGAAAGTGCTGGGTGCTCACTGCTCAGGATAATTGAGGCCATTCAGTGCACACAATCCAATCGAGTCGTGTCACATTCCTAGGGTCGTCATACACCTTCCACTTCTTTTGATCAAAATTCAGGATGGCAATTCGGAAAGTGCGCTATGGCAGTTATAACTAGGGAGCATGGCACACATTCACTACAAACACGCCGCAACCACACAACTCCCGTATGTCTCCTCTTCACCCCCTCACAACTACTCTCTCTCCTCTGATTCTTCTCGTAAGAATAAGCACACATTTTTATTGGCACTCATCCTGACGGGAGGCAGGCAGGGGAGCAGCGCCCATGCCACCGTGATTGAATAGTTGGCGCTTGCACCCACGCGCGCACCTCTCGGCGGAAGTCCTTGGTGATGACGCGGGCGCGCTTCACAGCCCACACGGTGCACCCATCTGAAGGCGCCACTCCCTTGTACACGTCGCCATAGCCCCCCCGCCCGATCAGGTTGCCTGGCGACCACTCATTGGTTGCCTTCACCACCTCCCAGTACGGCAGCTCCCGACACACCACAGGCCCGCCCGCTGCTACTGGGACTACTGCTTCGGGGAGGCGGGGAGGAGAAGGGACGGCAAAGATAGGGGGCCATGGGGAAATGAGGCTATGAAGATGTCGAGTTACAAGCAGGGATGTTGGGAGGATGTTTTGAAGGAAGAAGAGATGCAAGCTGGGATTTCAGCAACAGTCTAGGCTTCAGACTTGTCACGAATGTATCAGAAGCTTATCTGTAGTCGTACCTGGTCGACCCTCCTCCTCGTCATTGTCCTGTGCTCCTGCCTTCAAGGCCTTTTGCACCGCAGCACTCTCGTGATCATGATGCTCCTTGCGCTGTCGGCGTCGCCACACAAAGAAACCGACCAGGAAAAGAAGCAGCACAAGACAAACAATGCCGGCCGCAATCGCTGCTATAACCCCAGGTGGCACGCTTGGCAATGAATCTGTGAAGAGTGAAGAGCACGCAGGGGCCAATGTAATGGGACGAAGTCAAGCGAAAAGGAATGCTTTATCGTGCACGAGATGGTGTTAGCACATTGCTCATGGTTGAGAGACCACAAATGATTGGCACGTGGTGCGGCGGTATGGAAGCACTGGCGGGGCGACATGCAGACAACTAGTGGGGCTGGGGTGCCTGGAGAGAAGAGCGAGCCTGAGGGTGTTGTTGCAGCAGGCTGGGTCACCCACCTGCAGAAGGCGGCTGGCCTGCCAAGGGTGGCTGAGAGGAGGTGTCTTGCGTGCCTGACTTCGAACTCGGAGGTGCGGATGGTGGTGCGGATGGTGGTGCGGATGGTGGTGCGGATGGTGGTGCGGATGGTGGTGCGGATGGTGGTGCTGATGGTGGTGCAGATGGTGATGCTGATGATGGTGCTGATGGCGACGGTGACAGTGGTGGTGGTCGTGATGGTGGTGGGGACGGGGTGGATGGTGGTGATGACCCGCCAATAGACAAAGTACCTGCACGATGGGAACCCGGGGAAGAGACAATGACACGCGGGCACCGAGGAATGGGAGATGGCTGGCCTATGGCACGGTAAGAAGCACCAGGCGCTTCAAGATTCACGGAGCTTAATGTACGCCCTTCCAGTGGAACCCGAGGAAGAGGCAATAACACACGGGCATGGTGGAATGGGAGTTGGCTGGCCTATGGCACGGGAAGAAACACCAGGCTTATAGATTCATGGCACATCTATGACATGCACACGCAGTCTCTCATGTACGCTTTTCCTGCGTTGAGGCCTTATGGTTCTTGCTTTCGCCTTGAGCCTTTGTGTCACCACGGCATGCACCACACCTTCGTGCCTCACACTGCGTGCATGCCTGCGCAGCACCAGCGTCACCAGGAGCACGCAAACAGAGCATTGCGATGATCAAGGCAGCACCATCAGGAGCAAATTAGCTTCTAATCCCTCTTGAGACTACCAGCAGCTATTACGCTCATCGCAATTCACAGGACTGCCTCTGACTCGAGCACTTGAACTGGCAAGACTGCAGTGCTGGCGCTGTGAGTTCAACCCAAAGCATGCACCCACAACTTGCACTGCACGCGTGGTGGAGGTGTGAGAGACGTGCAGTCTTCTCGACGCTCCTCATGCGTGATCAATTTTTGGTCGGGAAGTTTACCGGGAGCGCAGTAGGGGATGCCAGCAGGGGTGGTGGTTTGGAAGAAGCCTTTGGGGCAGATGCAACCCTGGAAGGACGTGGTGCTGTTGCGGCAGACGCCCGGCAGACAAGGGCCAGATGCAGGGTTCGTGCACATGCGTGCTGCCTCTGCTCACAAGTGGGCGCGGCGAGGCCGGGTGGGGAACGGAGGACGGGAGGGAGGGAGAGAGGGAGAGAAGGAGGGCGGGAGGGAGCGAGGGCGGGGCAGTAGAGGTTCTCTGGAATACAGTGAGAGGAAGGGGGTGGGCATGGACGTCTATGCAAGTCAGTATGTCTGTCCCATCATTCCACTCAAGAGGACCATGATCGTACTTCTGGATTTGGTGCAGGCGGGGCGCCCGGAGTTGCAGGAGCAGTTATAGACGGAGGAGGTGTTGTAGGCGTAGCAGGTGTAATCTCTCACGGCACACATCGTGTTGGCAACCATGCACAACATCAACAGAAGTTTTTCCCTAGGAATGGGGACCACGACTGGAACCTGCCGCGTGTGAGGACTCCCGCGTCGGACAAACAGGGGGGGGGGAGGGGGGGAGGAGGTGGGGGGGAGAGGAGGAGAGAAAGGGCGGTGGCGGAGATGAGGCGAGGCAACAGAGAATGGAGTACACTTCAATGTGAGTGCTTGCGCTCGAAAATGTGAGCGCTTGTGTCTCAAGAGCAAAAAGCGCATGCAGATGACCCACAGCAGCTGCAGACACAACACAAACAACGACGCTACTCTTAACGCCTGCGCGCTTGTGTTGAAGGGCATCCGCTGCGTCTCCACATTGCGAAAAATATAGATTGCGGAAAACCCTATGAAAAAAACAACAGAGATGAAAGCATAGTATAGTCACGGGATGAAAACATCTGTGCATCCCAAAATTCTTTGCCAGCCTTCTGTCGAAGGCAGCTATGAAGTGGCAACTTCTTGCCCCGGGGTTTAGTGCCGTACGAGTTCAGCTGTTGTGAGTACATTGTATTCGTACCCCCTAATATACAGCTGCCATCCACCACTAACCAGACACGGCGGTAGTGACAATGTGTTCGGGGTAGAAATACGGGTATTGTAGATGCATCGTCTACAGTCGCATTTAACATCGTGCCGCAACACTAAGTGATTAGCGCCACCCAGCTACCAGGTGGTGACACTGGAACTACTTAGTGCGGACTCCACGACAAAACCTCCGGAGGAATTGCGTCCCATTAAGGGTCATGGTCGAGGTTTACCCCTGCAAAAAAGTTTGTGATAAACAGCCGTCGATTTTCTGAACACTCATCCGAGCCCTCCAATGCTCCTCCTCTGACAGAGTAGAAAAGGTTGGATTGTGCGCCGTTGATGCAAATGTGAGTCAACCGTCGGATGTTGAAGTAAAAAAACATCCCTTACAGATAACTTCGAAACAGGCTAGTTCCTACGATGAAGCCATATACAACACTCGGGTAAACAAACAGAATACAACATATTCGAAATTGTTACAAATGGGGAATTCTAAGGACCTTGCATGTAGAATGACAAGATACACACGACAAGATGATGGAAATTCCATTGACCTCTAGCTAGTTTACACTATAGAAGCTGAAGTCTTCACATATAACACGACATCATTATAGAAATAGGAATGTCGTTCTGCACATGCTTCAGTCGGTATAGTGGTTGCCCTACACGGTCTTAGAGCTCACATGTCAAAAGCTGTATTTGTTAACATACCACACCCCGTCCTCCACGAATGACTCAACCATATGCACCACACGACAAACATCGGAAACGAGACACACAGCATAACGGTTATGGACGCCATCGACCATTTCAAACTTGTACTTGTCGGCCCCCGTCCGGTCGTCATTGCCAATCCCGCTCATCAGCTGTAGGAACGCATAGCCATCCAAGTCCTGGGATCCCACTCTGAACAGCATGAGGCACTTAGCGATGCGTTCCGTGCCTCGCAAGTTGACGAGGATAAAGGAGAAGCATTGTTTCCCATGGAAGATGGGGCTGGCACGGACCCACGATGGTTCATGATCACCCGTTTGCCCGCCATCCCTGCTTGGTAGTGCCAAGGCAAAGTGCACCTGGCGGAGCGGGCAGAATAGGGTGGGAGGGCACTGAGTGGTGAGAAAAGGGTGGGAGTGGCTCCACATCACACACTAACCAGCATGGACCCGTGTCCTGCCTACATGTGAGCAAATCTGGCAAATCTAACTCATGAAGCAAGCGTGTGGGGAAGGGGAAAGGGGCGTGGGGCTGCTTGGAAATTGGAAGGCCAAAGGGAGCATCAGGGATGATAGTGAGATAAGCCATACAAGAACGAGTACAGCTTCGGATGGGGTGTGAGAGGAGGGTGGTGGGCAACGTGTGTGACTAAAGGCGGCCGTGTCGGCTTACCATAAGGGAGGGCGCATCCAATCCCACGTTGCGCAGCGTATCTCCCAGGTGAGACATTGCCCCGTCGTGGACCAGGTTGTACTGCTCCCAAAGGTTCTGAGCTTTGCGCTTGACCCCGGCTGTCGGGATAACTTCCATGATTTCGGAGGTGCGTGTGAGAGCTGGGACTCCACGCACACAGGCCTGTTGGAGGGGATGGATAGGAGGGGACAAAAGGGTGTAACCACGTAAGGGGGGGGGGCATAAGGGGGGCAAAGGAGGGAGTAGAGTTGATACTGAGGGGAGGACGGGGGAAGTGGACTGGCACAATGGAGCGGTGCATGCAAAGCAAGGCAAAGGAACGGGGCGCATGAACAAAGTCGATGAATTTGACAAAGAATCACCTCCGCCATGGCCGTCAAGTACTTCGCATCGCCCTGCATCGTGGTGGGCAGCGCACGCATCGCGCGACGGATGTCATCGGCAGTGATAATCGCCTTATGAATTTGTCTTCGGTTTGAGGAGCGGTACGGTCTCTTAACGAGCGACACGTGGCTATGCTCGAACAGGTTGGTTGAGTACTCCTCAGGAATGCCACGTGTCTCAAGAGCATAAGGCAGATGCACAAGAGCATGGACCTTTACCAGCTTCCACGAAGATTTTTGGGCCGGGAACACACGTCTAAGCTGCGCCAAAAGGCTAAGATAGGCGTAGGTAAAGGATAAGAAGGGTGTGGTAAAACGCAACGGGGAAAATCTTTGAAAATGAGTACCCTGTAGGAGGTTGTTCACTACGTGCTTCTTATGCACATTAAGGTGCAATGCAAATATTATCCCACACTTACTTCTGTTGCAATGCCTCGACCTTGTCGATGGATTCGTCAGTATGGGTGGGAATGCGGAAACATGCCGTGTACCAATGGAGGAACGTCTTCACCACTTCCATCTCGTCATCCCCAAGTATACCCTAAAAAATGAACAGACACCTGCATCATAGCCCGGTGCTCTGCAGCAGCGTAGTAAGCACCACCACTAAAATACTTCCCTGGTTTTGGAAGTTTAATTCCAGCCGCCCTAGCAAGCTTGTAGAGATGTGCATGGCGCCTGTACACACCATAGTGCATGCATTCGTGATAACAGATATACACACGAATGGTACTCGTGGGTTATAAGTGCACAAGCGTTAATTCACATGCACCCTAAACTTACTTGTCCATGCGAGCCAGCAACGAGGGTGAATGACCCTCCCTGATTTGCTCTAGAATGTGCCTCCAAAGGCCGATGTCCACCACGTGAAGAACATCGGGGGGCACACTTCCGTACGGGTTTCCCCAAGGGGTCCAAGAGAAATTCCATTTCCACAGCCAGCACTGTGAACGACACGGTTACAACGAGGTATGTTTATGTGAAAGTCAGAAGGCAAATGTGAACCACTGCAATTAACAATGACACCCATACCAGCACTGAACGCACCTCTACCCCGTGAGTTCCCAGCTCGCGACGTTTTTCCTTGTCATGAATGAATTTTGCCTGATCCTCGCACGTGCGCTCCTTGAACAAACAATCCATAACATCAAGATATTCTTGCGGTACCTCACAGCTCGAGCAAGGCTTGCTTGCGCCGTGCTGCATGGTACCAGTCACCTTGCACCCCTCTAGATAATCACATACATAAGCGTACAGTAGTGGGTACACCGTGCGTGCAGTGCCAAACGGATCACGCATGGGAGCGCCCCTGTAAAGGTGAACACAATGGTTTAGTTACTATGCGGTTTAGTATGGGGAGTAACAAAACAGACATGCACATATGCACACAATAGATTCGCGCAGGTGCATCGCGTACTCACGAGAAAGAGGCCGACGTCAATGGCTCGAATATGATGTCAAGACACTTGTTAAATAAGGCCGCTTTAACTGACGCCTCGAGGTCCACATCGGGCAATGGTAGCAATGCCACCAATGCCCGACCACTCTCCTTCCATCTGCGTTCGCGTGGAATGTTCGCTACTGTGATTTGTAGCGGCCACACCTTTTGACGCCCATTATGACTAAGGTGTGTAACATCGCTTGATGCGATCAATGCAGCCACAATGCCATCACGGTTCGGCAAGTGGGCCTGTTCAACATTGCACACACGTAACAATTCTCACCCGAATTGAGTACGTTGAGTGATCAGTGGCTTTTAAGAATGTATAGTTTAATGGCAAACACCATGACAACGTACCTGTGCTTCTTCCCACCATCTCGCGGTCTCTGGCCGTGAATACACACGCTTTTTATTTGCATTGAGCTTGACTGTCGGTCGCAAAACAAATCCAGATCGGTTCTCAGCGTTTTCGAAGATAGCGCGCAGTGCCTGT